GCCCCTCCAGGGTACCTGTGCTTCAAATTCTGTGAACCTGCACCTCAAGTTTGTTGTTGATTTGCCACTGCTAGATGTATACGTGTACCTTACCTTTACTGAATCCCCTCTTGTTCTTCTGCACCCATTGCCCTCCCCACATGTGTGTCAGATCTTAACCCAATTCTTTTTCCTATTAAACCCGTATATGGCTAAGTTCCAACTGGTCTTGGCTCTACTCTATAGGGGATAGGAGGGAAGTGGCTACTCCTCCTACAGTGTGCTAGTACTCACTAGATCCCTTCAATAGGAGAGGGGGTGCCTTGTCTAAGTACCACCTGGGTTACAGATATGGTCTGTGTTAATGAGGGGTCAGAGCTGGCACCTGGGTTACCTTAGTGACAATAGGGGTTAGGAAGTTTGTTGCTCGAGACATGCCATTTGAGGTTGGGGGCACTCTGTAAACCAGAACAGGTTTGTCCCTCTTTGCCTCCTTGAGATGGTCATAATTTTCCAGGAGGAGTTGGAGGTCATTAAGGATGTGTCTAAGATGTGTCCAAGATGTTCAAGCTGGGGCCTGCAGGTGACAGCCATAGGAATTTTGTTGTCCTTGTCACAAGGCTGATATTGTATCAGGTGGGAGTGGGATCTGAATCTGGTTCTGTTGATTTGAGTGGCTATAGTGTGGGGATTGTATTATAAGTATAGGAATTCCTGCTCCAGGTACTTAAGATTTGCATTCAGACTCCTTGGATCAGAAGGGTGGGTGCTCAGGAGTTAGGAATGAGCAAGTGCCTATTGGGCTAAAAGATGGCCTTACCACCTTTATTCTACTTCTGGTGGGTCTGTGCATAGAATGATCCTAATCTGCCACAAGTGGAAATACTTCCTCAAAAGACTCCTATGCAGTCTGGCCTTGATGCTAAAGGTGGGGTCTAACTTTTCACCAATTCCCTCATAGTCATCAGTGGTCCTCTGAAGGCTCTGCAGGATGGTGCAGGCTGATGGGCTTCCCCAGCTCCAGTGATGAGCTCCCACTGTTTTGATGACACACATGAAAGGAGTTGCATACTGAAGGGCACAGCAAGCCTGCAAGATTAGAGATTGTCATAACATTGAGGTTTGAGGGCCAAATCATAGCCACCCTCCCTGCCCTCTGCCACCCTGGAGTGAGTTCCAAAGCAGCCCAAGTGAGGCACACCCTTTCCAAGTGAATCCCCTATCATGAGTTCACAGAGAGAGATACCCCATGTGATTGGGAAAGACAGATGGACAAGGATCCAAATCCTAGAGCCTCAGAATTTACCATTTTAGGAACCTGGACCAAAGAGAAAGAAGCTTCTGAGATGGCAGATAAAAAAAATAAATAAAGCGGGGGGCTTATAACTTAATAGGCAGAGAAGTAGAGCTAAAACAGACCTCCAAAGGTCATCTAATCCAACCTCCTGCCTGAGGCAGGATCATCCGTATCAGAACCATCCTATACAAATCCATAATCTAAACTCTTTATATAACTACCATCAACCCTGACACATCACAAGATTTGTTAGGTAACAATGAATCTTTACTTACATCTGCTTTTCTGTGTTGATGGCTGCAATAGCCATTGCTGCTGCTGCTGCTTCAGTCCAAAAATCATAGGGCACTTTTACATGTGCTCTATGGGTGTGGGGGGAAGGGGTGCTTTAGTTAGAGCGGCTCTGAGAGCCACTCTGAGAGCTGTTTTAATTAAAGCACTTCAGCATCTTGTGTATCAGCATCCCTGCACTTCAAAATAGTGGCAGGGGCATTTGAACTAAAGCTCATTCAATGAGCTTTAATTCAAGCACTGCCCACCACCATTTTGAAGCATGAGGACACTGATACATGAGACACAGGCAGCTGCTGGAGTGTGGTAATTGCCATGGTCCAGCACTCTCGATTAATTGAGCGTGTTCCAATGTGCTGCAATTACAGCATGTTGGAGCAGGCTCCACGCTCATGTACAGGCACCCATAGTATAAGATTGCAGCTCAGCAGAAGCCAGACTGAGGCAGAGGAGAAAGAAAAGCAAGGAAAAGATGCTTGTGGACCTGCTTGCCTCAACTGAGAAGAGAATTGGCTTCAGTAGAATGGTCTCCTGGATGAAGTACTATCAAGTTTGCTGTGCTGACCTTGTCACAAGGGAAATATCCTAGACAAGGTGTATAGTGATCTTTCAGACATACTGGAACATGGTGAGTACCAGGGAGGATGTATGCATGGATTACGGAGATATTGATGGAGAACCTCTGTGTGCAGAAAGAAATAGGGTCACAAAATGCTTAGTTGCAGGAGTAGAGGTGGAAATCATTTTCTTGGACTTTAGCAAGGCCTTCAATATGGTACCTCATCCTATTCTCATAAATAAATTATGAGTCTGTGACAGATATTTACATGGTCCGGTGGGTGGCAAATTGGTTTAGTGGTTACACCCAGAGAGTGGTAGTAGATGGATTAGTATCAGCCTGGAAGGATGTGGATAGTGGGGTCCTGCAGGGTTCGGTCCTTGGACCTGTACTCTTCAATATCTTCATCAGTGACTTGGATGTGGGTGTGAAGTGTACTCTGTCCAAGTTTGCAGATGATACTAAATTGTGGGGTGAAGTGCACACTGGAGGGTAGGGAACGATTGCAGTCAGACCTGGACAGGTTAGAAAAATGGGCAGTACACAATGGGATGCAGTACAACAAGGACAAATGCAGAGTGCTGCACCTAGGGTGCCAAAATATCCACACACCTACTAGCTGGGAAGTGACCCTCTCAGCAGCACAGAAGTGGAAAGGGATCTCTGAGTCATAGTGGACTCCAAGATGAACATGAGTCGTCAGTGTGACGAAATCATCAGCAAAGCTAACCGCACTTCCTCATGCATCAGCAGACTCATGACAAATAGAACCAAGGAGGTGATACTTTCCCTCTATGAGACATTGGTCAGACTGCAGTTGGAGTGCTGCATCCAGTTTTGGGCACTGCACTTCAAGAAGCATGTGACAAGCCCTATGAGGAGGGACTGAAGGACTTGGACCTCTTCAGCCTCTACAAGAGAAGGCTGAAAAGTGATCTTGGGGGCTGCCTACAAATTCATTAGGGGGACACAGCAAAGTATTGGAGATGATCTGTTCACCAGGGCACCTCTTGGGGTAATAAGGAACAGTGGTCACAAACTGACAGAGAGCAGATTTAGGGTAGATATCAGGAAAAACCTCTTCATGGTAAGGGTGGTCAAAATTTGGAATGGGCTTCCAAGGGAGGTGGTGCCCTCCCCTACCTTGTGGGTTTCATAGTTTCATAGTAGCTTCATAGTAGCTAGGGTCAGGAGGTATCTGATCAGATCATCTAGCCTGACCCCCTGCCACAGGCAGGGAA